GTTCGGTGTTGGTGGTCTCAGTCCGCTGACTGATATAGATGGCCCCTTTGTCCCAAGGGGCATCCGATGGGTGCAAGACGTTCTCTGAATTTGGGGGTCTGGCTTTCGGACTGCTGCCTCTTCATATGGTCTCCGGTCTGTCTTTCGTGCCTCCGAAGAGCTTCCCATCGGGCTCTTGTTTGCTAGCCCCAAGGGGCCCAACAGTCCCTCGGTACCCTCGGGTCTAACGGGGGGGGGGGAGGGTCGTGCACCTCTGTGTCCACCTCTGTGCCCCTTAAGATGCGCCCTTGGAATCTGTTTCCTCGTGAAAGCAAACACTTTTGGGGGAATATTTGGTACCCCGGCTTTGTTGTTGACACTTAAAAATGAAAGCAAGTGGCACTTCGTGATGCTCCCCATAATTAGCTACCTCTTAAAAATAAAGGTTATGGGGCCTCGAAATGAAGGATTTTGGTGCCCCTCGCCGAAGGGGCCGATCCAGGATTTCATCCCATTGGAAGACAAAGAGATTATGGTGCCCCCGGATTTCGGTGCTGTTGAAATGAAATTTTGGGGCCGTTTCAATCGCCTGCTTCGATTTGGTGGCTCTAGAATATAAATGTTTTGGTGTTCCGAAAGAGGAGGTTTGGTGCCATCTTACCGGATCGGCCAATACAGGTAGTCGTCAGGTAGTCGTCACTACAGGTAGTCGTCAATGGAGAGCTACGGGCATCGCAAGTCCACCGGAAATTGATGTGTCTTGAGAATGAGGACTTTGGTGCCCTTGTGATGCACCTGGAATCGGGTGCCTGTGTAAAGTAGATATTGCGATGCCACGAAAAGAAGGCTTTTGCTGCTCATGTTGTTTCGTTCTTTAAATGGCCAGCTTTCTTTCGGTGCCGCTTTCAAATAAAGGTTATGATGTCCAGAAATGAAGGTTTTGGTGCCCATCAGTCAAAAAGACCAACCCAGGATTTCGTCAGGAGGGAGGGCACAGCGCTGTTGGGCCCCTGGAATTTGGTGCCCCTTAAAAATAACGGTTTGGGGCTTTTGTGATCTCCCTAGACTGTCCCCTTGAGTGTTTCTTGACCAAAATTTATTTTTTCACCATGGAATTTTGGTGCTCCTTCAGCCCAAGGGGAGCACAATCCGTGGCTCCCCTCTGGCTCCGTCGGTATGAGTTTGCTAAGTAACCTGCCGGAATGAGAATGAGGACAAATATTCGCGAGCACTCGAGAACGCACACCATGACAGTTACGCGTACTGAAATGGGCCCGTGATGACAAAATGGCCCACAGCTCAATATGTTATCTCAGCAAACGCTAATCCGCCGTTTAGACGAGGCAATCAAAGCAGAAAAAGTCAGTCCGGTGAAGAGAATGCAGAATGGTAGGGACGGCACGTTTTGCCAAAAGTGGGAAACCACTGTACTGAACGTGATCCGATGGTTAAAGCCAGGCTTTGCGGCATCCCAAATATGTACCTCTGACCTCACCTCTTCCGAACAGAGCATGCGCACCACCTGCTCCGCGTTGGCTCAATCGGGAGACCTGTCCATTCGAAGATCTCCCGCGTCATCTGCAGCCGGCCGGCAGATCTGGCAGCTCTGCGGCGGCTGATGAGGCGCCCGCTGCCGGGGCGGCGCGCAGGGGCGTTCTCAGGCCGGCGAACAGGGGGTGTCGTGAGGCCATTGACAAGGCTGCAGCACTCGCCCACGAGATCAACACCACCGAGTCCGCGCTCGGGTTTGACCCCTGACCCCGACGTCCGGCGATGCCCCTGTGTCAGATGATTTCAGTTCACCTGCCCGCGACGTCCGGCGATGCCCCTGTGTCAGATGGTTTCAGTTCATCTGCCCGCGGCGCTTCCGGCGGCGCTGAGGCCGCTCTGAACGGACGAACCGGCACCAGGAGCGGCGCGACGCACAGCACCGAATGACACATCACGGCTGCGACCCCGGGCAAGGCCGCCAAAACCAGCGAGTGATTCGCGGCGCCGCTCGCGTGCAGTACAGCACGAGAAGGTCAGCAGGGTGCGCGTTGAAATGCCCGGGGATGGCCACCCGTTGGCTCGGGGATGGCTCGGGGTGGCCAGATGGGGAGGCCACCCGTTGTTAAACAACGGGTGGCCGTTGTGGCCTCTGAGCTGCCGCCCAGAGACCAGCGTGTGTCCGGCGCGTCTCCGGACAAAAGCCGTTTGTTATACATGCGCTGCTGATGGCAGAGTGTAGTATACGTGGTCTGTTATAGCCATTGCCTGGAATGCCATACGTGAGAGAAGCCAAACCCGGCACTCGAGACCGGTTTAATGAATACCTGGGGACCCACGTTTGAGGTTGAGCGTGCACACTGATAGGGCAGCATAGCATATAGCACGGGGGCAGACACACGGCAGTAGTACAACAGACTTCAGCTTTGGCATAGCCATGCTGGCAACAGCAAAAGGCAACACGAATAATAAGATGTTACAACCGCTGTGTGTCCGTAATCTTTATTCGAAGCTCAGCGCGAAGACGCCGCTTTGGGAAGCGATTTTTTGCGGCTTTCTGAGGTAGAGTACGTTTAAAAGTAGCTATCCAGTGGTTACTTTAAACACCATATTCAGCAGCCAGTGTTGTAACCTCATAATCGGTACGAGTCATCCAGGCCTTTTGCCTTCAACGTCTGTGTTTCGGGCAGCCCTTGGAAAGGTGCATATGACCTTATACCGGTCGCTTTATGTATGGTAACCTATATTTATGTAAAGGTCGTCAAAATATTCGGCTCTCTTCGAAACATAAGTTTGTGTTTCGAGTAGCCCTTAGCCCTGTTTCGTGTATCGGGGTAGGAATGTGCGGTCTCAAATGATCGATGATTACGGTATCTTTTATTGGCAATAATGCGCAAGGATTTGAAACATTTGCTGTTCTTCACGCGCCTTAAGTTTTTGATCATGGCCGTCCGTAAGATACGGGGCTGATGGAGAGAGGTGGGGGGGGAGGGGGGGGGGGGCGTGATGGAAGAGTAACAAGGGGAGGGGAGGCTTTAGGCAGCATAACGCTACACTCGGAGTGGTTGCAAATCGTGCCAAAATATTTAGAAACACATTGGAACATTGAAGCCGGATGCTGCCGGCTTTCTCTCAGTACAAGGAACACGCCCGTCATTTATTTCGCATATGTAGCTCTATTAGGAGCTAAACGGACGGTGTGCTTGGAGCCTTACAACACAGCGTAACCAGAGGGAAGGGGTCGCCCAGCGTAACCAGTGGGTAACCAGGGGAGGGCTGCCATTTTGTTCATTCTTGGTCATGACCACTGTCTTCAGACATCTCATAATGTATTCCAACGACTGCTTCACATCGTCGTTAAACCACAAACTTCTAGTATGGAAAACGTCAGCCGTGCTCAGTATACCAGCTGATTACAGAGGAAATCATGCTCAGTTTTCAATGTCCGGGCATGCCTGTCCTGCGTTCACAGTATCAGGTATTCGGTAAGCAATTACTGCATCCAACCATGCCAGCATAACCTTGTAAATGGCGAAGGTCAAGCACAGATGGGACCAATTCAGCAATTCATAGCCGGGAGCGTTGTCTGAATCGGAGAATTCTGGTCATCTCGGCAGTCCCTACTCCAATTTTCCCGCATCTGTTGCTCATCTCCAAAGCCTGATCATGTGAAGAGGGCTTGGAGTTTTGGGCCTCTGACCGGCACGGTGTTTGGCATTTATCTCCATCCCTGTTCCGTACGGCTACTTCGGACATTTATAGACTCCGCCGTTGACCGGCCTTGTCACCGCATTGGGCCTCACTGTTCGTGTCGTGAAACCCAGCATCGGCGCCAGGCGCCGAGCGCATCGGAACCTCCCGGTCATGTCGCGGGCATCTCGTCTGGTCCGTTATGGCGACTTTTACGTCCTAATCAGTATATATATATATATATATATATATATATATATTGTTTCTGCATCCATGCCATTGTCGGAGACCCTTGGCCCTCTTCCGAGTGAGTAGGGCGGGGGAGGGGGGGGGGCGCTCTAGCCGTTCTGGATCCTTTGTCGTTTCTCGGACTGTTGCTTTTTTGTCTGTTTGTTTCTTTTTGCTGTGTCTCCAGTAAACGTCATAACCCTTTGATCGTCCCCGGGCCCTTCAGCATTTCGCTTATCTCAGCTGTCAAGAGACCGGTTATATGGGGACTCCCTCGTCTTTTCTGAATCTTAAGCCGTCTCTGACTTCTGAACGTCCCTCGGGAATCCCGAACATCGCCAGCGCCTCAAACAAATTTCCAACAAATTCCGCTCGTGTGCTTCCTTCAGCAGCATACAACGCACAGTGTGCTTGGAGGGGTGAAAAACCCGATCCAAGTTTGAAGGTAGAAGGTGTGTTCTGGCAAGCGTACGCTACGTCATCTAAGTGCCCGATAAGCGGTAAAAAGCTTAGCGTGATCTGAGCTACTTTATCAGGAAATTCGCACAGACCGGCATGAGTATCGTCCATATATTCAGCTACAAATATTCCATTTAACCTATCAATGCCATGAAAAAATCACAGGCTAAACGCGTCCACAAAACCTTGCGTTTTCTTCCACTATGACTCACATATGGATCTACACAGTTTCGGAAATAAATAACAGAAGCACCAGCTGAGTGGGTCCAGCAGTTTGTGATCCTGGCTGGTGGCCAGCCCCTGCTTATGTGGCCCTCGCCATTACAGTCACACAAGCACAACGTAAACAGCGCCTGGGGTCGGCCCATCCCCGAGGAATGCCACCTCTGTCTGTTTGAGTTGCCGCACGGGCGCCAGTGACACCACGCCGCACACAGGTCTCCGCCGTGCCTCTGTTTGGCCCGCGGCGCCGCGACAAAGGGTCGCCGTCCCCGCGCCGCCACTGTCTGCCCGCCGTCCGGCGTCTCGGCGCGCCGTGCCGACAGCATCACAGATGTGTTCTCCAAAACAGTCGCGCCGGCACACACACGCGCCGGCGGCCGGCCGCGCGACGGGTCCAGTATTGCCTTCAGGGTCGCCGAGGAGGGAGGCGGAGCTCAGAGCGCGTGGCGACGCAGGAAGCGGCGCCGCAGCCTCCTGCGTGCCGACTTGCGGCTGCGTCTCCGGCCGGCCGGCCGCAGCGCGACGTTGGACCAATCGCCGGCGAGCGCGGGGTACGCCGTCAGCGGGTGAACGTCCTCGGCGCGCGCGCCGGCCACGCTGCCCGTGTCGATCAGCTCGCGCTGCTGCGCAGCCGACCAGCCGGCGGCGGTGGGCAGCCGCGCGGCCAGCAGCCGCTGCTCGTGGCGCCAGCGCTCGCCGGCGGCGGCGGTGCGCGCCTCGGCCAGCAGCCCGGCGCGCAGCCGATCGACCGCCGCCGGCGAGTCGTCGGCGCCGTACACCAGGTGGATGGCGGCGTCGGGCAGCGCCAGCTGCAGCCGGTCGTCGGCTCGGCTGAGGTTGTAACGACCGAGCCGCTGCAGCTGCTGGGCGTCCGGCTCGCGGCTGGCGGCCGGCCGCAGGAAGAAGAGCTGCTGACGGCCGTCGCCGTCCGTTAGCCGCACGTCCAGCAGCCGGCTGGCGTTCAGTACGCTGAGCATGACGTCCTGGAGCACGCCGGCCGGCCCGGCCTGGCGCAGCGCCGCCCGGCCCTGCTCGTCCGACAGCAGCAGGCCGGCGCCGAGCGGCGGCCCGACGGCGGCCAGCCGAGGCACCAGCGGCCAGCGGCCGCCGCCCCCGGTCGCCAGCTGACCGCCGGGTGACACCTGGTCCGGCTCGGAGAAGACGGCACGCCGCCGCCGCTCCATGCAGGCCAGGCCCGAGATGAGGCGCGGCGCGGCCGGCAGCTGCGGCACCGCCAGCGGCGGAGACGGCTCCGGCACCAGGCGTTGCGCGTACACTGAGCCCTGCATCCGGTCCAGGTCAAAGCTGAACTCCGCCAGCCACGAGCGCAGGTCTGGGGACGAACAGGCGAGAGTCACACACGGCGCCGGTAGTGTCAGGTGGAGAACAACACACAGCGCCGGCAGTGTCGGGCGGAGAACAACACACAGCACCGGCAGTGTCAGATAGAGCATCACAAACAGCATCAGCCACAGGCACCAGGCGTTCCGCGCGCTTTCATAGCACTGCTCGTCGCCAGGCTGCCCGACAAATAATTACGCTTTGATCTTGCACCAGGGAAAACCTTCGGCCCTTGCGTATCGTTAGTTCAGGCAATTAATGAAGCTCAGCCAATTATAGAATGCGTAAACACAATGAGAAGGGAGACTGCTCCCATAGGAAGCAAGGAAAGCATGCAATATTCTGTCGGTGGGGGGCACTGGGTGGACATTAATTTCTCCCGACGGGGCCCACGGCCCAGTGCGCTACTGTTGTGTCATCTTCCAAACTTGTGTTGCTTCCGCTCCGGCCGGGTCGACTCCGACGGCGAGTCGCAGCGGGGGGGGGGGGGGGGGGGTTCGACTCGCAGCCCGATCAGGACAGCGCAGCCTTGAGTCGACTCTAAGATTTCGGCTCAAAGAACTATGACGCAACTTTGCAATGGGTGTGTCCTTTAGATGTTTGTGGTATTTCTTCGCGTATTTGTGATTTGTGTGATCAGTCATTGTGTAGCTCCAGGTGAGCCTACACGGCACATGCATTTCGACAGGCCAGTTTCGACTGTTCGATGTGGTGAACATATCTGTAGCGGTGACGCTATCAGAACGCCGTATTACCTTTTCATTTAAGTCAACCAAACGGCTTGGTTGATTCAACACCGATTGCAACTTGCGACAAAAGTTGGAGGCAATCCGCTCTAGCGTGCTTCCATACAAATTAGATTGAAACTGGGGTTGATTCATACTCTATCCGGCACCTCACACGTCCGACTGCGCTTAGGGTAGTCCCAATCCACCGCCTCCTGAAGCTGAATCGTCTCCGAAAAGTATGCTGGGCTCAAGTCACGTGAGGATGCATGCGCGCGGTGTGGGCCACCGGAGGAGGGCTTGGCATGCCCGTCCGGATGGCATGAGCTCCGCGAGCAGCATCACAAGCCGTGTGCACGCCACGATGATGATGTGTGCGGCAGGCTGCTGCGAAGGCCCTGACATACACTCAGCTGCAAAGGCCCTGACATACACTCAGCTGCAAAGCCCCTGGCATACACTTAGTTAGCTGAAGTCCAGCATCCACAATGTGAAATTACTGTCACAAAATACCGAAGCGTGCCACTGATCACTAGCCCGGGTCGGAGAGGGTGGGGTGGGGCTGGGAAGGGGCAGCAGCGCCAGCCTGACACCCACCTGAGGGCGGCGGGTGGCGGGTGGCCCCGTTCACCGGGTCGTTGTCCATGAAGCGGTACAGGTGCAGCGCCTCGGGCTGGTGGAGCCGCGCCAGCGCCGCCTCCCAGCCGGGCGTCAGGTACTGCTGCAGGCGCGGCTCGTACACGCGGCCCGCCGGGTCGAACAGCAGGCCCAGCTCGAGGTCACGCACCCAGCCGAACAGGTCGACGTCGAGGGGCAGGCCGGCGTTCGTGTCGCGGATCACGTGGCCCCACGGATCCCGCCGCATCTCCTTCACCACGCTCCGGTGCGTGTTGAAGACGGCCAGCGGCGTGCCACGCGTGTCGGCCGCCACGTAGTGGCGCTGGCCCGCGCTCTGCACGGCCAGCAGGTGGCCGCGGTGGCAGTAGAGGTAGGTGTCGGTGCGGCCCTGCGCCGGCCGGTGCGCGTGGCTGAGCCGGCGCGGGTGGTACGGGTCGGCGTACAGGTACTGCACCACCTGGCCGTCGGAGGTGCGCCTCGCCGCCAGGCGGCCCAGCCAGTCGTACACGTAGCCCACCTGGCGGCCGGCGGCGTCCACCACCTGCGTCAGCCGGCCGCGCGCGTCGTACGTCATGCGCCGGCCGTCAGCTTGCGCCAGGAAGCCGTTGGCGTCGTAGCGCATGTCGTCAACGTCCCCGTAGCGTGTCATGCGGTCGGACGCGTCGTACTGCCGGTCGACCGAGCCCTGCCGCGTGGTGACGCGCCGCACGTTGCCGCCGGCGCCGTACTCGTACGTCCAGCTCTCGTGCGCCTCCGCCGCCGCCAGCCGGCCGTCGGCCGTGTAGTTGAAGCGCATGCGCACCACGTTGTTGCCGACGGCGGCCGTTTCGCGGCTGATGCGGCCCGCCTTGTCGTAGACCGTTTCCAGCCGGAATACGTCGTAGCCGTGGAGGTTGAGCACGGTGAGCTCCGGCTCGTTGAAGCCGCTCATCATGGTGACCTTGCTGAAGGACTTGTCGCCGTCGTGCACGACCGAGCGGTTGGGGTGGCTGTAGTACATCTTGAGGTCGTCCACCTGCTCCAACGTGCCCTGCGTGGATGAGTAGCGCAGCACGATCGGCGACAGCTCCGTGTTGCCCACCTCCACGTTGATCTGCGGACGCGGCGACAACAGGCGGGTTAGCAGGCCGTTCGTGTGTCGGACCCCCACGTCCGCTAGCATTGAGCGCTCTCATCACATCAGCCATGATGGGAGATGTCCCCAGAACTGCCAGTACGGCTGGGTCCGTAATAACCCAGCAACCGGCGCGAGTGGACGCCGCTATGGTCGGACGCCGCGCTCGCCGCCCGAAAGAGCCTGCATTCAACACGAAAACGCCTGAAACGCCCAGCCACCGAGCGGAGTGCTGCCACACGAGCTGAAGGCCGAGTCGAAAGCGCGGCGCCACCACTCGCCTTGCGCAGTCGCGCGTTGCCGTCGTACTGGTACTTGAACTTGGTGCTGTGGAAGTCGTCGCCGCGCTGGAACTTGTTGTCCTCCTTCTTGCGCAGGCCGGCGTGCAGCCTGAATTCGGTGACGGCGTCGAAGCCGGCGTCCTGCGCGCTGACAGCCTGTAGCGCGGCGCCGTCGGCCTGGTAGCGCAGCAGCAGGTCGCCCGTGCCCCAAACGGCCTGCTGCAGGCGGCCGGCGCTGTCGTGCTGGTACAGCGTCCGCCGACCGTCCGGCAGGCGACGCTCCACCACCTACCAGGTCGCGGGTCACAGGTCAGGTATGGGGTCCTCAAACTCCCGTCAGGACACCGATCAGGTATGGGGGTGCTCAAACTCCAGTCACAACACATGTCAGGAATGGGGTCTTCAAATTCCCTTCAGGTAAAGGTCAGGTTCGAGGTGCCATACCACCTGCTGGGGTCAGGACTGGGGTCCGGGTATACAACCACACACACACTACACACATCCGGGGTCATGAATACCGGCCAGGGCTGGTGTGTTATACCGAACGTAGCGTTACAAGGAGAGTGTGATGGGCCACGGACTCAGGGGTGACAACAGAAATGCAGGAAGCCAACGGGCCAGGGGAGACTGCATACGAGACTGTGCCAGCATACAAAGACTGTCCAGCCAGCCTGAGTCGCGGGCGCGGGTGGTGCGAGCGCGGGTGGCGCGGGAGCGGGTGGCGCGGGAGCGAGTGGTGCGCGAGCGGGTGGCGCGAGAGGGAGTGGCGCGGGAGCGGGTGGCGCGAGAGGGAGTGGCGCGGAATCGGGTGGCGCGGGAGCGAGTGGCGCGGGAGCGAGTGGTGCGGGAGCGGGTGGCGCGGGAGTGAGTGGCGCGGGAGCGAGTGGCGCGGGAGCGGGTGGCGCGGGAGTGAGTGGCGCGGGAGCGGGTGGCGAGGGAGTGAGTGGCGCGGGAGCGGGTGGCGCGAGAGGGAGTGGCGCGGGAGCGAGTGGTGCGGGAGCGGGTGGCGCGGGAGTGAGTGGCGCTGGAGCGAGTGGCGCGGGAGCGGGTGGCGCCGGGGTGAGTGGCGCGGGAGTGGGTGGCACGAGAGGGAGTGGCGCGGGAGCGGGTGGCGCGGGAGTGAGTGGCGCGGGAGCGGGTGGCGAGGGAGTGAGTGGCGCGGGAGCGGGTGGCGAGGGAGTGAGTGGCGCGGTAGCGGCCCTCTGACCGCGCGTCCCCATCGGAGACCCACCTGCAGCCTGTCGTTGAGCAGCAGGGTATAGGGCTGCTCGGAGCCGGGCCACGAGTAGGTCAGCTGCATGAGGCCGAGCCCGGTCTGAACGGACCAGGCGTGCCGGCCGCCGCCTGGCACCGTCACCGCCTCCACGGCACCGGCGGCACCCAGCTGCAGCTGGTACTCGCCGCCGCCCGGCATCACCACCGCCGACGGCTGCAACACCGCGTCACGTCACGTCACGTCACGTCACGTCACGCCGCTTCACCAGCGCCGACTGCTACCGGACAGCGAGATGGCCCAGCGCCGCGCTTTCCTGACACGGATTTCAGAAATACGGTGAGTTCCGTTTCGTAACAGAAGGGACGTATCCCGCGCAACCTCTGGCGATCGTTTCCGGCTTTGGTGACGCGCCGTGCGGCTGGTTTTTCGGCGAGCGTGCGTCACACGTCAGGCCGAGACGCCGGCGATGCTTCGGCGGCTTCGGCGGCCCACGACTCGCATCTGGCTAACTCGGTTACCGAGCGCCGCGGGGCTGACACCATTACCAGCGATCACGGCTGTCCGGTCACAGAGGCCAGGCTCGACCTTTTATCGGCCCGCTTTCTAGCGACGACGGCGATGATTGCTCACACCTGCCGGTTCCATCAGCACCGGATATCGACGTAAAGCAATCGCAGCGCGTTCCTGGCGCTCCGCAAGCTCTGCATTCTGCATAATTCCAATCATGGGAATGATCCGGGGTTTGTATATTCGCTGCTGACGACAACACATTTAGCTGAAAGCAGCACTTTTGGTCACACGTTTGCGATGCCCACGTGCCTTTAATTCTTCCTTAAAATACGCGCCATCAGACATGTAGATTTGATCTGATTTCGCTGCTAGCGTCCGGATGCTGAATGTTACGTCAAACGACGGTACCCGTATGTACTCTGAGCTCTGTGAGCTGGTCTTACCTGCTTCTGGTGGTTTTGGTTTCTCTGGTAATTAGTCTGGCTGATTGTTCGAGATTTTGGTGGGTCCACTTCATTTCAATAGATCGTAGTGTCGTCAGTTTTAGTCTAGTTTAGTAGTCTACTTAGTATCATCTAGTTTTAGGTCAATCTGTGTCTTAGCTCGGCCAGCTGCTAGTCTACTTAGTCTGGCCAGGTCTCCCAGTCTGCGGTGTGAGCAGTTCCTCGAAAGGCAGGCCAGTTTCTGTGTGAGCCGGTCCGTTTACTGTGCGAGCCCTCTGCTATGGGTGTGGGTCTGACCCGCGCGCTGCAGGTCAGTCCTAGGTGTCATATGATCGAATCTGACCGGGTTTGACTCGGGTGTTATATGTGGCTCGGGTATGACTGATTCTGTAAATGCGTATCTTGCCAGAATGCTGTGATGCGGGCCTGACCTATGTGAGGTTGTTAGGTCTGACCTGTGTGAGGTTGTTTGGGTCTGACCTGGGTGCTGCGGTGTAGATCTGGCCTGGATGCTGAGAGTTCGTGTCTGGCCTGGGTGCTGCAGGTTCGGGTGCGGGTCTGACCTGGGTGCTGGTCGGTTGGCTGAACCGGTATTGCAGCTTGGAGCCGTCGGGGCCGGTGACGGTCGTTAGACGGCCCACGCGGTCGTAGCGGTACGACTCGGTCCGGCCGCCTCTCTTCCACTTCCTCAGACGACCGAACTGGTCATACTCGAGCTCCACATCTGTGGGGCAGGACACGCCACACGTCAGCCGAGGTTATACGTCAACAAAGGCCAAATATAGGTCTGCAGGAGTGAAAATTTATCAACGTCGCAAACCATTTGAGGCCGTCACACCACTCACCGAGGAAGTATCCGTGCGCGCGCCAGGCCGTCGGCCGACCCAGCTGATCGTAGCTGATGTCCAGAATGGTGATGTCATTGCGCGTGCGCACCGACTGGCGCGACGACGCCACGTCATACTCCAGAGTCAGCTGAATGTCGCCGTTCACCTTCAGGTTTCGCCCCACCTGAAAACGGTATGATAAATAGCACTGTGAACGGCCCATTCAGAGCGGAGGGTATTGGACAAAGTTCCAGTTCGCACAGCCGCCGTTTCTGCAGGCGCGTCATTGTCATTGTCAGCGTCAGCATGATGTTAGACCTATAAACTCGCGCGCAGTAGTCACTGGGCTGAGTGCGCGTTCGACCAAATAAATGATGAGAGCAGCTGGCAGTGCTGAGGCAGCAATGCTGCACTACTTACAGACGCGTTAGATAGCTTGACCAAGGTGTTGGCTACTATTACCCGGCCACCGGCAATCTGCTCATCAATCGAGCGAGGGTAGCTCCACATCATCCCATCTAGCGAGGGTAACTACAGTTTAGCAAGCATGGTTAGCTCAACAATGTTATTCTGTCGGCTTTCGCAAACAGCGGGCAGCTGGTGCAGTCGTGGCATCAGCGGGCCGGCCGGCACCAGAAGCGGACCACACCAGCCCGCTTCACGACTCGCCGGCCCCGCTCCAGCACCGGTCTCCACTCAGCCCGGGCGGCGCAGAGCGCCGTCGACCGCTCACCTTGGTGATCCTCCTGCCGCGGCCGCGCGCCTGCTTCTCGGTGAAGTAGAGCCACTCGAACCTGTTGACCGGGTCTCCGGCCACCTCGAGCCGCTGCGAGCCGGGCGCCAGCAGGCGGCGCGCCTGCGCCGGCGGCTCGCCGCCCAGCGCCGGGTAGGTCACCACGTCCGTCAGCGTGGCGTGACCCCAGGGCGTCACGTGCTCCAGGTCACCGCCAGCCGACACCGAGGTCACCCAGGTGCCGGAGCCTGCGGCCGGTCGCGGTGAGGTCAGGGGCGCACTGGAGGCTCGGCAGGGCGACGACCGGGGGAAGACGGAGTCAGGGGGTGAGAAAAAGAACACTCCACGTCCTCGCAAACCCTTTTCCATCCTCCGAGCCCATATCATATTTCCAAGCGGTTCTCTTGACGTATCTCATAAAGAGATGTTCAGGGTCACTCAAACCAAAGTCTTTGTACTTCGGTGCGTGAACTCCAGGCGCCGGGAGCGAGAGAGCTCAGACAGCTCGAGCGAGAGACAGCATGGTGTGAACTTCAGGCGCCGCGAGCGAGTGACAGCTCGAGGGAGAGACAGCTCGGTGTGAACTCCAGGCGCAGCGAGCGAGAGACAGCTCGGCACGCGCCGGCGAGCGCGGCGCCGTTGCCGCAGCGGACGCACCGTTCACCATGGTGACGGTGCTCCGCTGGATGAGCAGACTCTCGGCCGCCTTGCCGTCCCGGGTGACGACAACCGACGCGCCCTGCTTGCTCAGATCGAAGCTCAGCCGCAGCACGTGACCCGTGGGCGTCACGTGACCGATCAGCCGACCGTACTGGTCGTAGTCGTAGGTCGTGCTGCGGCCGGCCGCGTCGTACCGGGCGCCCATCAGTCCTGCCGGCGGCCGGCAGGGGTCAGCACCGGCGCTCGCGGCACCGGGGGCAGGGGTCAGCACCAGCGCACGCAGCGCCGGGGCAGGGCTCCGCTCCGCAGTGTACGCGACATGGAAGGAGGACGAGCGGGATTCAGAGAGCAATGCCTTCGCGGCTGGGGACAAGAGCGCGCGCTTGTTCCGCACTGAATGAGAAGGGTTCACGATGATTCTGGTGCCACACCGCAGCGTACGGCGCAAGGGCAGCAGACAACCACTCCTCTTCAAAAGCGTGGAATTGGAGATTGGGTTGAAAGCAAGTTCTCATCATCGCGGTGCTGCCAGCACCTACCCGAGGTGTCCAGGTACTCGAAGCTGGTGTTGAAGCGGTCGGGGGTGATGAACTGCTGCAGCTGCCCGCTGCTCGGAGACATGATCACCTCGCACTTCTGACCCAGAGGGTTGTCGATCGAGGTCACCTGGAGGTCACGGCTCACTCACTGCGATGGTTCGAAGACCCAAAGATCTCTCCCCACTGGCGTCTGGTCAGTCAGCAAGCATCCTTTGGGATCCTTAGCGCTCATCCGAACGATTCATTGCTGCTGTACCCCTATACAATGGTTTTCAATCAAACAAAGCAGCACGCCCTTTTTCATAAACAACAATTGAAGCGTGCTGGAAACGGAGTCCCCCTCCAATCTCTTCCAGCACAATGCGATGCTGAGCCCCAGAAGGCGCCGTGTCGAACTTCTCAAACCAGACCGCCTGCCCGCACGGCAGCCACGCCTCCGGCGTCGTCAAGCGGCTGGGACGGCGCGGAGCGTTGAGGTCGTCTGCTCCGCCGCCCGCCGCCGGCCTCACCTGGTACGAGTAGTCGCGCAGGAAGGAGACCTTGTTGCCGATGGCGTCGGTGACCGAGCTCAGCCGGCCGTTGCTGGCGTTCAGGTTGTACGTGAACTTGTACAGCGTGTGCCGCGTCACCATGTTGCGCGTCTCCGTGTGCTGGCCGAACCGGTTGAAGACGTAGGTATGGCCGTCGTCGGGCGCGTGGATGTGGTAGCTGCCGCGCCGGTCCGGCACGGGCAGCGGCGCCGACACCGTGCGGATCCGGTGGTTGGCCTGGTCCGAGATGTGGACGGCACCGTCGGGCGTGACGGCCAGCGCCGCGATTCCGCCCAGCAGCGCGTCAGCCGCCAGCACGTGGTCCTCGTCAAAGCACCTGCGGCGGGGCGGAGAGGTTCAGGGTGCGGCTGCTGTTCGCGGCTCTGGAGGTCTCGCGGGATGGAGCCAGTGCCAGTGATGGTTCCATGTGGTGTGACCTGTGGTGATGCCGCACCGAGCAGGGCCAATGAAGCTCCAGGCTCCAGGGCAGGTTCCAGTGATCGGGAGCTGCGGTAAGCCTCGCGGAGCACAACACGTGGCAGGTCATAACTGAAATAATCCTCGTATACTTCGGCTCCCACTATAAACCTACAACGCCTTTAAGTAACAGCACAGTAGGTTAGTGAAGTGGGCACCCACGAAACCAATAAGAGCAGTTAATGCGATTCAACGAACCGCCACGTGCGATGGACTATTGACGAACCGTGGTGATGGTACTCCATCGCACGCGCTCCATCCAATTATTCGAGCCCCATAGGTCACATCAGACCCCCTCCTCCCCCCCCCCCCCCCCCGGCGGTCCTCGGTGCCGACACCGCCCTCAACTGCGGTAGAGCCCGCAGGCCACAACAGACCCCCGGTAGTCGGCGCGGCCGGCACCGCCCTCACCTGCAGTCGTCCTCGCGGCAGTTGCACTTGGACTCGGCGCCGGCCAGCCCCTGAATCGTGCCGTCCGTCTGGATGACGCGCACGCGGTTCACACGCTGGCTGTCGCTCTCGGCCACGTACAGGTCGCCCTGGGGCGAGAAGGCCAGACTCTGCGGCGAGACGAGCGTCGACTGGGCGGCCAGCTGCGGCGGGCTGCGCTGCCGCCGCGACGGACACTGCAGCGGCTTGCCGGCCACCAGCCGCACCCGGTAGTCGGCCGTCAGCTGGAACACCTGCCGGCGCCGCCGCGGGCCGTCAGTGGCCTGGGCCCGAGGACGCGACACCTGCCGACGCCCCCTCGGGGCGGTCAGTGGTCTGGGCCCGAGGACGCGACACCTGCCGAAGCCCCCTCGGGGCGGTTAGTGGTCTGGGCCCGAAGACGCGACGCCCGCCGGCGCCGCCGCGGGGCAGTCAGTAGTCTGGGCCCGAGGACGCGACACCTGCCGGTGCCCCCTCGGGGCGGTCAGTGGTCTGGGCCCGAGGACGCGACACCTGCCGGTGCCCCCGCCGGCGGTCAGTGGCCTGGGCCCGAGGACGCGACACCTGCCGACGCCGCCGCGGGGCAGTCAGTGGCCTAGGCCTGAGGACGCGACCTCTGCTGACGCCCCCGCGGGCGGTCAGTGGCCTGGGGCCGAGGACGCGACACCTGCCGGCGCCGCCGCGGGGCAGTCAGTGGCCTAGGCCTGAGGACGCGACCTCTGCCGACGCCCCCGCCGGCGGTCAGTGGTCTGGGCCCGAGAACGCGACCTCTGCTGGTGCCCCCGCGGGGCGGTCAGTGGCCTGGGCCCGAGGACGCGACACCTGCCGACGCCCCCGCCGGCGGTCAGTGTTCTGGGCCCGAGGACGCGACCTCTGCCGGCGCCCCCGCCGGCGGTCAGTGGTCTGGGGCCGAGGACGCGACACCTGCCGACGCCGCCGCGGGGCAGTCAGTGGCCTGGGTTTGAGGACGCGATGCCGGCCAATGCTGCGGAGAGGTCGCCACGGTACACCCAGGTTAGCGGAGATCACTCACTGATGGCCTGGAGGGACGAGTCCTGGGCGTTTGCTTCTCAGTACAGGACATGACAAGGCCAGCTCACTCACCTGAGGTGAACTGTTTGACGCATGGTTATGTGACATTGGTGGTATGAGGGATTATCGATGCAAGGCGTGGTGAGACCAGGTCGATGGTCGCCAGTGCAGCCATGGCCGACGCGGCGCCTTTTGGAAACATTTTTGATGTGGAGTTCATGGGCTGATTACATGTGGAGTCTATGGGCTGCCTATTCAGGTTGACCGGACTCATAGCATGGCAAAACATTGCCGTATATTAAGGTTGAAACAACAGCGCTCAGGGGCTCAAGGCATGGACTCCATAACGGGAGTGGTCGTCCCCAAACCGTCGCCAAATTTAACCCTACGCCCGTGGATTTGTATGGAAAGAAACACGTCCAAAAACCTCAAGATTCCCACCTCCCTAACGCCTCACTCATGACGAAGCCAGTGACCTGTTAACAAGCTGTCACCTACATCTCACAGCAAAGGTAACTGGCATAACTGAACAAAAGCCCCGTTCGCATAAAACTTATCCCGGGCAGACCACCACGGCCGGCCACTCCACACGGAGTCAGCGGACGTACCATATGTGTGTGCTTAATAGCCGAGAGGTTGGAACCCTCGGCTTCCACGTGGGGGCCTGGGTTCAAATCCCGGTCAAACTATGGCTCCTGAACGTTAATGTGACATTTTAAGTCACCGGCGCCCTACAATAAATGTCTGACGACATGCGCCACGTTCCCCACTCATCCAAAAGTAGAAAGGGGCGTACCATATGATCGTCGATAAAGTGCAGGCTGCCGTCCAGCGGCGAGACGGCCAGCTCAGTGGGCCAGCGGAGCAGCACCTGGTCCTGGCTCAGCGTGCCGATGCACGGGAACGGCCGCCAGTGGGACTTGTGCATGCTGTTGCCGACCAGCGTGCTGATGATCTGGTACGGGTCCACCACGCGAATGTTGGTGCCGTCCGCGAAGAACAGGCTGCCGTCCGCGCCCACGACGATACCTGCCGGCCACGCGGGGACACTGGAAACACGCTTTCAAAACAGGTCGCCGCCCGCCGCCACCTTGATACCCGGCGCGGCACGGGCGCGTTGGGCACGTCCTCGCAACGGACTGTCGTCCGTCCTCACCGCGACACCTGGCGGCGGCACGGAGGCCCTAGACACACGGTCACAACATGCTGGTGGTGATAGGGAGACAGGCGTGATTATAGGCGGCCCACTGCATCGTCAGCAGAGGTGTTGCAGGCGATCTGACCGGCTCAGCTTTCCGACGCCGGGTCCGGCGGTGGGAACACTCAAACGTGGCAGGCGGCCGCAGTGATAGCCGCGGTGATCCCGGTGGTGGCGTCACCCACCACACGAGTACCTCAGGCCGGTGCGCGGTCTCCCTCGCCTGCTGGTGCGGTGTCTCACCTTTGGGGTACGTGAGGCGGGCGTGGCGCGCGCGGCCGCCGTCGCCGCAGCCGAACTCGTCGCCGGGCGGACACCTCTCGCCGTTGCCCACCACCGGCTCCAGGTTGGCGGCGGGTTTAGCTGGCGCGTGAGGTTGGCGCACGCGCAGGATCTGGTACGACTCTGGGTCGGACACGTAGACGGCGCCATCTAGCGGGCTGACCGCCAGGTGGTACCGGTAGGACACGCCCGTCGAGCTGCGGGAGTGGACCAATGTCAGGGCGTCCAGCCCGGACGGCCATCAGCCTCTGGGTACATCGTTTGCTCTGGGTACTCGGAGCGGGGGTGCAGCTGCACACTATGAAGCTGTCCTTCACCATACGAGACTGCACGACGGCGATGCCGTCCTATCAACGAGAATCGCATGTCCGGACCAAAGTTCCATATGCTTCTTTGGCGGCTTAGATGGCGCCGCCGCAGGCAATCCCTCGAATCTGTCCAAACGTCATCACCAGCCAAACATAACACCAGACCTGGACGTAGAGGCTGTTCCGTCAGTGACTGCATCACCTGAGCCGCGTCGACCCCGCCAGCCCGGCTCTCCCGCCCCTCGGTCCAGTCCGCGGCGTGCAGGCGCCACTCACTTGAGCTCGGCCACCGTCTCCACGCTGCCGGCGGGCGTGACGCGCCGGATCAGGTTGAAGTCGCCGATGTACAGTGAGCCGTCGGCAGCGGCGGCCAGCGCCGTGGCAGCTAGCAGCCGCTGGCGCCCCGCAGCGCCCTGGCAGCTGCGGCAGGCGATCTCGCGCTGGTGACTGCCGCCCACGGTCGTACGCAGCAGCTGCGGCCGCTGGCGCAGGTGCACGTTCGTGCCGTCCCCCTTCTGGAGGATACCTGCCGGCGGCCAGTGGGACGTGAGCGCCGATACTGAGGCTCGTGCCGCGTCTTCCGCAGTGTTTCGGCCGCCGCCGGTGGGAGGTAAGGAGGGGGTCTGAGAGTGCTGACCGGCAGACGCCGCAGACGCGGCCGGCCTGATCAGGGCGGGAGCAAGGCGACGCCTCGCTGTTACCAGGCGGCCTTAGACTGCGACACCAACATAAAAGGCGATTAGGATCAGCGTCACTGCCAGAATACGCCCCGCCCACCAATGACTTTCTTCGAATAAGTTTGTCGATGGTGAAATCAAGACAAATACAAAAAGCCACATCAAGACGAGCATCATGAAAAGTAGAGGCGGTGGGCTCAAATAAAATCTGCACATTATAAGGCATCGCCTGCAGACAAGCAACTTGCACGTAAAATGAAACATATGATTGGCAGTGAAAGCACGGTGCACGTGGTCGATACGCAGCGCAGAAACACCAACTGGTAAATCGGCCGAACAGACGCGGTACCTCGTGGCGTTCAACATTCCCACCGTTATGTTCCGCTTTAATCATGACTTAGATGTGCGCCAAAAATACATTGATCGCTGCCATTGAATGCCTATTTCTGCCATAAACTGCAGAACCAAATGAAGAAGCTACCAGGAGGTTCTGAAGGCAGCATCGCCGACAGCGTGCGGACATGACGACTTGCCTTCTGGAATGTTGTAGGCGTGGTGAATGTCCAGGTTCCAGCCGCCTATCTCGGAGATGCTGATGTCGCTGCCGGCTATGGTGGTGGTCTGGGTATCCCAGATGACCTGGGAGCAGTCGGCGTACTGGTACCCCACGCGGACGATCGCCGTCGTTACGCCGTACACGCGCTGGCTGTGGAAGCACAAGAACCGGGTCACTGGCTGTGTAGACAAGACAAGGGTCATTGGCTGTGTAGACAAGACACGGGTCACTGGCTGTGTAGACAAGACACGGGTCACTGGCTGTGTAGACAAGACACGGACCGCTGGGTGTGGGGACGGAAGACACGGGTCACTGGGTGTGGGGACGGAAGACATGGGTCCCTGGCTGTGGAGACGGAAGACACGGGTCACTGGGTGTGGGGACAGAAGACGCGGGTCACTGGGTGTGGGGACAGAAGACACGGGTCACTGGGTGTGGGGACAGAAGACACGGGTCACTGGGTGTGGGGACAGAAGACACGGGTCACTGGGTGTGGGCACAGAACACGGGTCACTGGGCGTGGGGACAGAGTATATGGATAACTACGGGCGAATATACGGGTGAGGAGACAAGATACGGGCTGCTGGGCGTGGGAACAAAAAATACGGGCTGCTGGAGGTGGGAACAGAAGGTCCGCGTCACTGATAGACAATGAGATAATAGATAGGGGATAGCAGACAGTGGTCACTGGGCGTTGGCGCAGACGGCACGTGTCACTAGACGCGAGGACACACCAGGCGTCACGACAGCAGACAGGAGCCAGGGGCTGCGTCATTCGGTGTGGTGATGCACGGCCACTGGACGTGCGGACGGACAAAGGCATTTGGCGACCATACCACAGAATAGATGACTCGTCAACGAATGTCACGGTTTTGTGCTGTGCCGTGCTGCCTGAGCGATTCCATATGTCATGTTTGCTGGTAATAAATCTGGGATTCATCACGATGTGGCATATCAAAGTGGATATCGTCGGCACATTCCACCGACGATCTTTTCATGATTCGCCGAAACAACGTACATGGAGTTACATAGTACATACTAAAACAGGGCAAATTAGCTTTTAATTTTAAGGTCAGCAGGATCGAATTAAGTATGTACATGTTAAGTGCATATATGTACATATCGTGGTGTTATGTATAAGTGGATGTGATTGGGGAGCCATTCGGATGCGGCTAGTAAAACATGTATCCCCCCTTGAAGATGATATGCACCGATGCATGCGACAGCCTCGATTCTTATAATGGCAGCTAATGACCGTTTGTGAAGTAAGTTGTCATGATGTTACAGTCTCCATCGACTTCTAGAACACATCAAGCATGCTATCCTCGAGAAATAGCGCTTGACTGAGCAGACCTCCTGCAAAGAGATGAACAACTGGACGATAGTGGCTGCATGAGGATCCGAACGTAAAGGCCTGGGTGACAGAACTGCATGAGGATCCGAACGTGAACAACTGGACGACAGCGGCTGCATGAGGATCCGAGCGTGAAGAGCTGGGCGACAGCGGCTGCATGAGGATCCGAGCGTGAAGAGCTGGGCGACAGCGGCTGCATGAGGATCCGAGCGTGAAGAACTGGACGACAGCGGCTGCATGAGGATCCGAGCGCGAAGAGCTGGGCGACGGCGGCTGCATGAGGATCCGAGCGTGAAGAGCTGGGCGACAGCGGCTGCATGCCGGCACGGCTCATCAATAATGCCGGCCGCGCGTGGCGTGACGGGTGACGGGTCACGTGGCGGCGCCCGTCGGCGGCCGGCTGGTGGCTCCCAATGTTGACTCGCACCCCAGCATGCCATCGTGTTTACACGGCCGCGCGGCGCCGGCTCATTTCTGGGAAAGCTGCAGTCAAATCTCGGTCTCAGAATCGCTCGCGATCCGTGCGGTGATTTGCCTCGTCTCCGAAAATCAGTGGACCATCGAAGCGTCTGTGTCTGTTCAATGGACGTAGAAGGCGGCTGGTGAAACTCATTCGGCTGTTCATATCTGGTGCTTCTGCCATTTCAGACGGGGATGTGTATGAGTGTGCAGCTAACTGGACTAGGCAGGCAGTTACAGTTATGAGCTCTTCTACGTCATGCCGCTCTGTGGAGTATCAACATGCGATCCTTACAGATAATTATCCAGCACGCACCCGGGTGTCCAGTTGGATACCCTTCGCTCGGGTGGAGGGGTCAATTTGACCCCGTGAGATCTCGGAATCTAAGAGAGTCGGAGACATGGAATTCACAAGGTGTGTTGGCCTGTACGTTTGGTCACTGGTCAATTTTTGGGGTTACTAGGTCATGGCCTTCGGGATCAATAACGTTAAACAAGTTCAATTCCAGGTTGGCGTCCAAAGCTACCCCAGAACCTAGACAGCTGTTCGAAGCAAAAGGTCACATGCTCACTGAGGGTCAGTGACCTTTTTAGCGTTTCGAAGGTCACGGTGGCCAAAATAATGCAGAATTGTTTTGAGTTTTGCATTTGATTAAGCGACAAAGATTGTGCTAGGCAGTATATTCCAAAACAAAGTGCCAACTTGGGTTATTTAAGGTCAGTGACCTATTTGGACCTTTAAGAAATCCATGAAAGGTGGACAGTTCGGTTCCTGTTATTAATAAATTCGTGATGGTCACCGAAATTACCCCATACAGCAAGCCCTAGAGTAAAAAAACGGGTTGGTATTAACCTTAGTCTGGCCTTTGTCCCTGACCCAAGGTCAATGGAAGTTGTTCATTCAGTTATTGTGTTGCCAATAAAGTATCTCAGAGATGTGTGACTTCGTCTAAAACCTCGCTGTTGCATCGGATTAAACCACTCCCTAGAAATTGACTTCACTGAATCCATGGACTAACTTTGACCTGTCGTAGGCCGGCGACCTTACAAGGTATCTCCAAACTTTTGACACCAGATAATCTGCCAGTCAATTGTCTACAGCTATGCAAAATGTGGCGCGGCTACGCCACACCGTCATGAAACCATTCCGGAAAAACCTTTGGGGTGCCAAATTGATCCCCACCCGACCGCATGTTAACGTCCCCAGTTTGTACTCCCTACACACCCGATTAAGGTACGTTTGCACTTGAAGATAATCGTGCAAACGCCACCACTTCTATTTTGCTGGCATCTGACGTCAAAAAGACGTTTTACGGCACATACGTGCAAGCGAACAGGCTACCATCTTTTCTCCATCGATTCAAACAAAAGCACCCTCTGGTGGATATGTCATAAGCATCACGTGTCGGTCTTCCATTCGCGTTGCATCATTGCACCCATTTACAGCGTTCAAGGTTTCATTTGGAAGATGCCTTACAGCACTGACAAAATGGCACGATTTACTTCCATACTAAATATGTTGTGCAACAATACAAACAGTATGCACCACAATAGACAGCTGATCCTGTGACCCTGTGCTCCTCAAAACGGCACACGCATGCATGCGTGGATGCACGTCACCCGCACACACCTGTACACGTTGAGCCGGTTCCAGGAGTAGGTGTACTTGATGTTGGGTTCGGCCTCGAACGTCTTGCTGACCAGCTCGCCCTGCAGGTGCACGCGCAGGTGGACCAGACGCAGGGAGGGCGCTACCGTCTCCGGCGTCAGCTGCAGCTGTATGGTGCTCTGGTAGCCGCGGCTGCGCGACGAGTGGTACACCAGGTGCAGCTCGGTGGCCGGCACCGGCAGCGACTCCTGCACCACCTGCGACTCGGCCAGCACGGCCGATTCGCCGGGACAGCCGCCTGCCGGCGCGCCGCGGTTGTCATTGATGGGCTCCCACGGACCATGGGGAGCGCCCTTCCCCTGCCGCACCGGGCACCTACGGAGGTGCATGCAGACCTGCCGCCGCCAGCTTTCCTACACGCAGGGGTTGGCACTAACGACCCGTCCCCCTGACCCCCGGCAACAGATACAGAGAGCTTCACAGCCGACTCGGCCGGGCGTGGAGAGGATTTCACGCCCCCTCCCCCCCCCCCTCCGGTGACGCTTCATAACAGGCAGAGACTGATCGCCACATCTTCGGCAGCGCACTCACCCTGGAACTCGTGCTTCCAGCTGGCCAGCACCACAGGCTTCATGATGTCGTAGTCGTGGTGGGCGCAGGTGGGCTGGCCACTGTAGACGGCGGAGGCGGCCAAGGTCGTCAGCGCCACGTCATCGATGACGACAATCTGCCAGCGGAAGAGATAGTGACATCAGAGCCGACGTCATCGATAACGTGTCCGACGGTAAGCCGGGTCCGACTCGGCTAGGAACGAAATAATACGTTGACAACAACGTCAGCTGTGATAAAGGCACATATCAAGGTGCTTATGTGAAACACGGTGTGGACATTTTTTCTAATAAACGTCGTCGCCGCCATTTGGGCTTTACGACGCACTCAGCTGCTGAGGTTGTATGGCGTCGCCTGCCTCTCACCGTGGCAGGAAGGGCGGGCACCGCAGGAATTGAACCCCGCATTTCTGGTTTCCCAGACACGCAGCTTTACCAGTACACTGCCGGTACCTTTTCTAATAAGCGTTAAATGTCGTTGCTGCATCGATTTGCTTACACTCGAATTCCTGGCCATGATCAAGAATGTGACCTTTGATGCCGACAAAGGCACGTGAGTAGGCATGGCCCAACGTCCGCACTTTGCCAGCCTCATTGATATCTGCCACGTGATTAATTTTACGTGCGACCATTGCCAGAGTGTACACTGGCGAGGCCTGTGGGCAGCAGTAGGCCCCGGCTGGCTGGGGCCTGCTGCTGCTGGGGCCTGCTGGGCCGGGTCTGCTGCGGCCTGTGGGCAGCAGCAGGCTCCAGCCAGTCGGGGCCTGCGGACAGCAACAGCTCCCAGCCAGCCGGGCCGGCCAGCGCGTACCTCATTCCAGGGCACGTGCAGCACGCGCTCGACCGGCTGGAACGGCGAGCGGCGGAACCAGAGCTTCACAGCGCCGCCGCCGTTGACCAGGAAGTCGAACCAGCCGTGGCGCCGAGTCAGCGTGAATCCCTCGGCGGGGTTCTCCGAGCTGACGCGCACACCCGGCACGCCGTAGCCGGCGTCGGTGATGACCCGACCTCGCAGCACGGCCGCCCGACTGCAACGGCCGGCAAGGTCAGCGGGTCACGGGAGTCGGCAGAGGGTTACGGGAGCCGGCAGCGGGTCACGGGATCCGGCAGCGGGCCACGGGATCCGGTAGCGGGCCACGAGAGCCGTCAGCGCGTCACGGGAGCCGTCAGAGGATCACACCTGACCAGGGCCACAGAAGGGCCACATGGCCACAGGAGAGCTCAACATGTTGCGAGGGAAGTTCAGGCATCAAAGGTGTAGTCCGGGGGTCATGAGACTTTCGAGTGTTTCATGGGAGCTCGGAGGGTCCCAAAACGGGTCAGAGAGCCAAGCGGGTGGTCAAAGGGTCACGGTTCAGAAGGCCACAGGAAGGGTAGAGTCGCAGCCACCCGGCTGTCACGCGCCACGCGAGTGTTCAGAATGTCTTTGCAAAACAGTGGTATAAGTTCCGGATGGATATACATCCGGACGGATATAATGATAACACCGCCCCTTCTTCCCAAAAAAAGGACTTAACGCTATGGAAGGGGCGATTAAACTATCCCGAAAGACGAAAAAACGCGACATTTGCAAATCATCAAGATGTCCTCAACAACCATTTTTCGACACTTGTTATGTTGATTTGATCTATGATGAACAAAACTAATGGATCACTGATGCAGTCAAGTTTGCATACGGCCTAGCCTTACAGATTACAGCGGACACTGCTATGTAAGAGCGGACATACTATAACGATGCAAGCAACAGCGCGGATCTCATGCTGATAATGCGCGAGGCAAAGTTCACATTGCATCACGGAATGTGCATACCTCTGAGGAGACGGTATCACACTCAAATGCCACTACGTGTTTTACCAGCATGCGAGCGTTGGCCAGATATAGCCACAGGTGCGATGTTCACCTAGTTTGTATTCCGTGCGAAGAAACGTTAGAAATGCAGCCCATCATATTTGTCCATTACAAAAGTTCAAGCGAATATAATGTGCATGAATGCGTACATTTAAAGGATGGAAGGCACTCTTAGCGTACACAAATATAAAGAAGCTTCAAAAGTTTTTAGATGCTGTCTGCGACATAGAAGACTAGCAAAACACAACCATGTGATGAGCAGAAGACATGTAGAAAAGCATCATTGGGAACGTCGTACTCCTTAAACTTACCTGGCGTTAAAGCTTTTCCAGAAAAGACTGCCGCACGCAAAGAAGGGACAGTTGTAAAAAGGGTTGTTTAGGCACATATAGCATAAGCTACAACTCTAGACACCATATAACTACGGACCCCGCTTATCAGTTGTCACTTAAGCCAGTTATGTGAACTTTAATGGTAACGGCACGAAGGGACCGCAAGGATCATAATAACATTCAGTGACGTCTACTAACATGAGCTACTGACAGTTAAGGCCAATGCTTAATACACATCGTAAGCTCAAAGGAAAGGATAACACATCGATTACTTCCACCGCCCGACGTGGTAAACACCGCCATCAAATCGGTCCTAACGCCGGCGGATGACAACACCCTAACCGAGCCCCGTGGGGACCCCCAGGTCTCCCGGTTCGCTGCTGGGTAAAATGAAGCTCACGAGGTTCGGCGCGCACGCTCCTTTCTCACATACGTGCCGGGTACACCGTACAGAGGGAGGAAGTAATGACGTAGCGAGGTATATAGCTGGAGTGCGGGGATTGCGTACTTTGAAGAGACGCGGATGTGATTACGGGAGCTTGTGATCACATCTCCGTCTCTGTTTCCTCTCATTGGGACCTATCTGACAGCCCTGACGTGAACGGTCTTGCAGCGCTTTGATTCAAACAACAATTCGTCCTCTGACTTATGACATGACTAAGAAATATTTCAACATAATCAAAGCCAGTAGCATACCCTGTCAGAGCGAGCCGACAAAACCAAGGGAGGGTCCGATGTCATCGCCACGCAGGTGAAATACAACCTGCAAATGGCAGACTCCATCGCAGGCCTACCTCCCCCAGAACACCGTGTGCACTGTCAGGGCTGCCTACCCACATGTGGGAAGTATTGCGAGGCCACCTAAGTTGCGACCATCACCTCCATTAACTGTCAATCCCAGCGATGACACCGGAGGAGGGGAGAGGTGGAAGCGAGCCCGTCGACGCCGACACGCAGCCCGACCGGCGCCGGCGGCGGCGACGGCGACGCTCGCCGCCGGGCCCCGAGACCCACCTCTGGTTGAAGGCCTCGCTCCGGGCGTAGCGCTGCACGCTGTCCTCCTCGATCAGGAACTGGCTGCGCTCGAAGAAGGAGGCGGTGATGCGGGGCGGGTGCTTGCCCAGCAGCACCTCCACCGGGTCGGGCGAGCTGAGGCAGAGCTGGCTGGCGGCGCAGGCCGACGTCCCGCAGCACTCTGGGTCCTCGCAGTCGCGCAGGCCGTCTGTCGGCGGCGCCGCGCCGTCAGCTCAGCGGCTCCCTCCCTACGTCAGCCGAGATCACCGCTGATGCGTGACCGCGCATCTACTATCAGACATGTCGCTACGGAAATATCCGACGTGTCAGCGTGTGAGCTTCTGCGGCAAGGAAGAGAGAAACGGGAGCATGAGGAGGGCAAACCCTATTTAAGCATCCTGTACTGGTTCATCACGCTGTCACTATCATTTAGACCTTCGCCTTTAAGTTGAACTTTAGATGAGCTGACGTGAGGCAGCGCTGGCTCTCCAGCGACACAAAGCTTTGACCTAGTCAGCTCAGTCTAGAATAGCCGGCCTGAGCGGAGCCCGGCTGTCGGCGGTGGGACAGCGGCCTACCTTTGTCGTTGTCGATGTCATCGGCACAGTCGCTCTCTAGGGGCAGGGAGCAGTCATCGCCGAACCAGCCCGAGTCGCAGCTGCACCGCCACTCGTACGTGTAGGACATCTGGCGGGCAGAGACGTGACCAATCAGCCGATCGCCACCTCCGCGGCGGCCGCCCCGGGCTGGGGTCAGCTGATCACCACCTCCCCGCCGGCCGTCACAGCGAGGCCCGGGCAGGGGTCAGCTGGTCACCACCTCCGCGGCGGCCGCCCCGGGCTGGGGTCAGCCGATCACCACCTCCCCGGCGGCCGTCCCGGGCTGGGGTCAGCTTTTCACCACCTCCGCGGCGGCCGCCCCGGGCTGGGGTCAGATGATCACCACCTCCCCGGCGGCCGTCACGGGCTGGGGTCAGATGATCACCACCTCCGCGGCGGCCGTCCCGGGCTGGGGTCAGCCGGTCACCACCTCAGCGGCGGCCGTCACAGCAAGGCCCGGGCTGGGGTCAGCTGGTCACCACCTCCGCGGCGGCCGCCCCGGGCTGGGGTCAGCCGATCACCACCTCCCCGGCGGCCGTCCCGGGCTGGGGTCAGCTTTTCACCACCTCCGCGGCGGCCGCCCCGGGCTGGGGTCAGATGATCACCACCTCCCCGGCGGCCGTCACGGGCTGGGGTCAGATGATCACCACCTCCGCGGCGGCCGTCCCGGGCTGGGGTCAGCCGGTCACCACCTCAGCGGCGGCCGTCACAGCAAGGCCCGGGCTGGGGTCAGCTGGTCACCACCTCAGCGGCGGCCGCCCCGGGCTGGGGTCAGATGATCACCACCTCCCCGGCGGCCGTCCCGGGCTGGGGTCAGATGATCACCACCTCCGCGGCGGCCGTCCCGGGCTGGGGTCAGCCGGTCACCACCTCAGCGGCGGCCGTCACAGCAAGGCCCGGGCTGGGGTCAGCTGGTCACCACCTCAGCGGCGGCCGCCCCGGGCTGGGGTCAGATGATCACCACCTCCCCGGCGGCCGTCACGGGCTGGGGTCAGATGATCACCACCTCCGCGGCGGCCGTCCCGGGCTGGGGTCAGCCGGTCACCACCTCAGCGGCGGCCGTCACAGCAAGGCCCGGGCTGGGGTCAGCTGGTCACCACCTCAGCGGCGGCCGCCCCGGGCTGGGGTCAGATGATCACCACCTCCCCGGCGGCCGTCCCGGGCTGGGGTCAGCTTTTCACCACCTCAGCGGCGGCCGCCCCGGGCTGGGGTCAGATGATCACCACCTCCCCGGCGGCCGTCCCGGGCTGGGGTCAGCTTTTCACCACCTCCGCGGCGGCCGCCCCGGGCTGGGGTCAGATGATCACCACCTCCCCGGCGGCCGTCACGGGCTGGGGTCAGATGATCACCACCTCCGCGGCGGCCGTCCCGGGCTGGGGTCAGCCGGTCACCACCTCCGCGGCGGCCGCCCCGGGCTGGGGTCAGATGATCACCACCTCTGCGGCGGCCGCCCCGGGCTGGGGTCAGATGATCACCACCTCCGCGGCGGCCGCCCCGGGCTGGGGTCAGATGATCACCACCTCAGCGGCGGCCGCCCCGGGCTGGGGTCAGATGATCACCACCTCCGCGGCGGCCGCCCCGGGCTGGGGTCAGATGATCACCACCTCAGCGGCGGCCGCCCCGGGCTGGGGTCAGATGATCACCACCTCCCCGGCGGCCGTCCCGGGCTGGGGTCAGATGATCACCACCTCCCCGGCGGCCGTCCCGGGCTGGGATCAGCTGATCACCACCTCCCCGGCGGCCGCCCCGGGCTGGGATCAGATGATCACCACCTCCGCGGCCGCCGTCCCGGGCTGGGATCAGATGATCACCACCTCCCCGGCGGCCGTCCCGGGCTGGGGTCAGATGATCACCACCTCCCCGGCGGCCGTCCCGGGCTGGGATCAGCTGATCACCACCTCCCCGGCGGCCGCCCCGGGCTGGGATCAGATGATCACCACCTCCCCGGCGGCCGCCCCGGGCTGGGGTCAGATGATCACCACCTCCCCGGCGGCCGTCCCGGGCTGGGATCAGATGATCACCACCTCCCCGGCGGCCGCCCCGGGCTGGGGTCAGATGATCACCACCTCCGCGGCGGCCGTCCCGGGCTGGGATCAGATGATCACCACCTCCCCGGCGGCCGCCCCGGGGTGGGGTCAGATGATCACCACCTCCCCGGCGGCCGTCACAGCGAGGCCCGGGCTGGGCCAGTCAGCGACCGGCCCAGCGTTACATGCAGCGGCGTCACGTGACACCGGCCGGTGACTCCACCTTCAGGCAGACTCCGGCGACTCCACCTTCAGGCAGACTCGATGGAGCAGCATCGGCTCATAACGTGTGGGCGGCTTTGCTCTGACGGCCCGACAGGAGGACGAAGTGCTGTGCAGACGTCCTCCAGGTGTGACATGCGAGACACTGAGGCGCCTCAGCCTACGCGGCGCACGTCTCCTTGCGTCTCCTCGATGGCTTGAAGGTTGGCGCGCGCCATCATATCTTACAGCGCGTCAGTTTGAAGAGCAGCTTTATGGTGGTCTATGGGGGCTAGTCGGCGCGATTTGATATTTACCGCTGGCATGTACTCGTAAACACCGGTGTGGCATCAGCCACAACATGTAAACGTCTGGAAGAGTGGGCAGGGCAGGTTAAAGATCAGGGACATCACCAATGAGAGAGGGGCCCAGTGGCCCTGCCTCCCCCAAGGACCAAAGGGCTATATAACACCCTTCTCCGGCGCCGGCACTACGACACCGTTGCCCGAGTGGTATTGCCACTAAATAATTGATTGGCTCTCCAGAGCTTGACGCCCTACATTCCTGCCAGTCCACTTCGTCTTAAATCTCGACGGTGGACTTTTCGCAAAAGGTCGGGATTGGAGCACGTCGGAGGGGGTAGTGATACCGTGTTAGTCTTGGTCATATCCATTAGTTCACGATAAATTTTCTTTTCGCGTTACCGTAGGACCATTGCACTAGTTTCACTGCACTGGTGCTGACGACCGTGATTATCACTAATAGAGACAGGCTGAAAAATAAATAAGATATCAATAATATCAAAAAATGAAAACATTGATAGCCCATAAAAATGATAGACTAAACGTTCTGCCCATAATGAGACCGGAGCAGCCTTGGTCTTCTTCAGTCTCTCCCTCATGTTCAACTGTTGACAGCAACGCGACATTGCATCAAGAAATGGGTGCGCTCTTGCTAAAGCCAGCTGAGGATGAGTGAGCCAATTTCAGACAGACCAATTCTCAGTATGCTTCTGATTCGTTATATTATAACCGACGCCCCGCCGTTCAGAAATCCTTCGTATCATTGGTATGCCCTCTGCACTGTGCGGCGTTCACCCGAAGCCAGTCAAACGTGACATCTCCGAAAAACGCGGCCTCTGCCACAGCGCGAGGCAGCCGCTAGAGCAATGCCACTCCGGGTGCAGGCCGCCAGAACGGAAGCGCCGGCCTCGCCGATGGGAGCCGCCAGCGACGCTCTGAATAATGATCTTTCTCTGAAAATCTTAATGAAGAGCGCGATAAATTGGATTTCTGTGAGACAAACAGGCTGGAGGCGCCGCGAGGAAAACAGACGAGCCGGGCTAGACCAGGGTCGACTCAAAGGCGAGGAAATCGAGATGCACCGGCCACGTTAATGTGACTTAATCAATGGTCGTTTTCGCAAAGCCGCGCGCTGACGAAAGGAGATGGACTCATTTGTGACCTGTCAACTGATGCATACACAACATGCCAAATTAACTCGGCTGCAAGCAGAGCGAACTAGCGGAGAACATATGGCGCGGGGCTCAAATGCTGATTGCCTCGCCCTGATTATGACTAATTGGAAATCGGTGCACTGGGGCGCATGTAACGTGCCTAGAACACATTTTTTTGCGACCCAGTCGTATTTTGCTCGCAAGGCACTGCACCCACGAGAACGCAGTCGCACATAGTTGAGTGTGCTGAAAAATCGCGACTTGGCCCGAATGATTTTTATAGCGACGCATGCAGAGTTGCATCGTGTTGCTAAATTGCGCGCACCGCATACAACTTTAATGAATAAACCAACGTCATGTGGCTGCCTATAGGTATGCCGGGTGACTCAATAATTTTCCCGGAATCCAATCAGTTTTTGGGACAGGTCTCGGAATTCATCAGTTTTTAATTCCGGTGCCGCACCTGACAGAAGCGACAGTAGAGGTGACGCACCTGTCAGGGGCTGCGGGAGCGGCGCCGCACCTGACAGCGGCTGCGGCCCAGGCAATGTACCTGTCAGGGGCCGCGGGAGCGGCGCCGCGCCTGACAGGGGCTGCGGTCCAGGCCATGTACCTGACAGGAGCCGCGGGAGCGGCGCCGCGCCTGACAGGGACCGCGGAAGAGGTGATGTACCCGTCA